TCTTGTGGTTCAGCAAGGTATCTCTGTCACAGACCGTTCTTGCGATTTGCATTTGAGGGAGTGGCCTATCAGTACACAGTCCTACCATTCGGACTGTCCCTGACCTCTTACACTTTTACAAAGTGCATGGACGTGGTTCTTTCCCCTCTGAGACAGATGGGAATCCGCATCTCGAACTATCTCGGAGACTGGCTGGTGCTAGCCGGATCAGAGCGGGAACTTATCGCTCACAGGTTGTTGTTGCTCAAACATCTGGAGCATTTTGGGATGAGAATCAACTCAGCCAAGAGTTTTCTGACTCCCAGACAGTGAGTGTCCTTTCTGGGAACAGTTATAAACTCAGTTCAAATGCGAGGCTGGATTACGCTGGAACACGCCCTGAACATTCAGCGAGTGGTGGCATCGTTTAAGTTAGGGACTACGCGTCCCCTCAGGATGTTTCAGAGGTTGCTCGGCCTCATGTCGACTGCCTCCTCTGTGATTCCCCTGGGCCTGCTACACATGCCTAGCTACTAACATTAAAGTTAGTGAGTCCATGCTAACGTACAAACCTAAATAGATAATTGTTCTCAGGTCATGTACAGTCAAAAACACATAAACGAATGTCTACATTTCAGTGCCTCTCCATATTAAACTGGTTAAATATAAATTAATTCAATCTTACCCTGCGGTACATGGATCCTGGATGTTGTCATCTGTGATCATGATGACCGTAACATGGGCCTTCTTCCACTTGCATTGTGATCTGTAAACCCTCGCTTCTAAATTAATACCCACAATATTTATTTTAAAAATTTTATAAATCCCTCTATGGCATATTTAAGTCACACTTGAATGGTGGTCCATAATTAATCAAAAACATCTTAGGACAAGGTTTTCACACTGACAGCTGTCATAGTAAGACAATTAGCAACTCCGTTCCCTATCGAACAGGAACTCCTGTTGCATCGCTTGACGCTAATGGGAAACTCCTGTTTACTCTGTTACTGAAGCCTGATTTGTTAACATTTGTGTAGTTGCACAAACTAATGGCACTCAAGCCCACCAGAAGGGGCAGAGCCAACCGCTATATGAGTCGGCCTCGGAGCGCCATCTCATCAGAATCTTCTCCTTCAGCGACGAGACCATCTCTTCACTGACTCTGCGATCAAGAAGCTAAAGAAGGAAGAAGCTCAGCCTGAAGCTCTCTGCAGTAGAAGAGCCCTGGCAGAGAAATAAGCGAGAAACCTTCCCCTGCGGCCATCTGGCACTTCAAAAGAGCAAATTTCCTACCGATGTTGTTGCAAATGTCGCACCACTAGTGTGGCTCATGCAGGGAACCCCTGCAAGATGCAGAAGGGCACAGTGAGTGTGTCGCATGTCTGGGCAGTGCCCGTGCATAGAATGCGTGCTCACTGAGATGGAATGCTCTTACCGAGAGCATGAATCTCGCATTTCTCTGCTCGTGGACCGCCTTCTTTAATGAAGGTAGCCCCGCTCTCCGTTTAACCTCTCTCAGCGAGCTCGGAGAAACTGTGGAGTCACAGAGCTGAGCAAAAGGGTTTGAGTGATCTCACGCTGGCACAGGTCCCGCGTGCTCACTCTCCCCGCAGCACTTTGATCCGCAGGTGTGTTTACACATGAGGATCAGCGCCCCTCATAACATCAAGTGGTTAAATTCTTCTAGGCGAATCGGAGTAGAATGCTGTCACCGATGTTCTGTATCACTGACAGATTGACACTAGGTTGCGCTCACTGAGACAGAGTGCTTTCGCTACAAGAGCATTGGGTCTGTTCCTGCTGCGCTCGCGGATCGCTTTCTTCAATGAAGGCGACCCCGCCCCTCCCACTCTACCACTTCTCTCCTCCCAGCTGTCTCGGAGGAAGAAATGGTGAACTCACAGATTGAGTGATAAGGCTTGAGTGATTACACACCGGCACAGGTCCCGGGTGCTTCACTCTCCCCACAGCACCTTGATCTGCAAGTGTGTTTTACACGTGAAGATCAGTGTCCCTCGTTTGCATCGAGCAGTTTGATTTTTAGGCGGATCAAAGGACAATGCTGTCACCAATAATTCCATAATGCTGACAGCTTCAAATTCGAGTGCACCGCTTGCCTGGGCCACGCTCACGCTGAGGCTGCGCTCACTGAGATAGATCGTTCTTACTACAAGAGCTTGTGTTTGAAGGCGACAATGAAGGCAACCCTGCCCCTCCCACTCTCCCGTTTCTCCCCTCCCAGCTGTCTCGGAGGAAGAAACGGCGAACTCATGGGTTGAGTGATCAGGCTTGAGTAATCGCACACTGGCACAGGTCCCGTGTGCTTCACTCTTTTCACAGCACTTTGATCCGCCAGTGTGTTTACATGTGAGGATTAGTGCCCCTTGTCTGCAACGAGCAGTTTTATCCTAAGCGGATAATGTGTACAGCACTCTGATCCGCTGGTGTGTTTTACACGTGAGGATCAACGCCCATCGTCTAACAAGAGGTTTGATCTTTTACATGTAAGGATTATTGCCCCTTGTCTGCAACGAGCAGTTTTATCCTAAGCGGATAATGTGTACAGCACTCTGATCCGCTGGTGTGTTTTACACGTGAGGATCAATGCCCCTCGTCTAACGAGAGGTTTGATCTTTTTTAGGTGGATTGATGAGAATTATCACTGACAGCGTCAGATTTCAATGAGTCTGGGCCACGCTGAAGCTGTGCCCATGGGGGCAGGCTTCTCCCACTGAAAAACACTTTGAGAGGAATAGGAGATAGTAAATTTTCGTCAAGACCGGAACTCCCTCGAAGAATGCTTGCGATTATTCCCCACCTCTTCTAATAATTCTGAGCGGTGGAGGATTTTAGCTGGGCACGTCCTGCAAGCTCAGCGTGTGCCCCAGCAAACTACCGCTGTGATAGTGGACCCACATACTCAAAGAGCATTTCTCCTTTCCCTGCAATCATGAATGTCAGTTCCTCGTCCCCACAGGGCAAACTGCCATTAGTAAGAATGGAACCGCTTGCCGCCCGGTTTTTGGCTTGGAAAGCCATCCCAGGCGTGTCAAGCTGGATTCTAAAAGTCATAAAACAAGGTTACTCGCTCCAGCTCACTCGCAGGCTGCCTCATTTCAGAGGCGTGGTTCAGACTTCGGTACGGGACAACAAAGCTCATGTTCTTCGGTCCGAAGTACAAACACTGCTTGCAAAAGGTGCAGTAGAAACGGTCCCTTTAGCGAAAACTGAGTCAGTTTTTACAACTGCTACTTCCTCGTTCCCAAGAAAGATGGCTGGCTCAGACCAATTCTCATACATCTGAATCGTGCTCTCATATGACAGCTGTTCAGAATGTTAACTTTGAAACAGATACTTGCCCAAATAAGCCCCGAGGACTGGTTTCTGTCTGTGGATTTTAAAGATCCATATTTTCACATCCAAATAGCCCCCTGTCACAGACCGTTCTCGCGATTCGCATTTGAGGGAGTGGCCTATCAGTACACAGTCCTACCATTCGGACTGTCCCTGGCCCTTTGCTCTTTTACAAAGAGCATGGACGCGGTTCTTTCTCCTCTGAGACAGATGGGAATCCGTATATTGAACTACCTCGACGACTGGCTGGTGCTAGGCATCATTTAATTTAGGAACTACGCGTTCCCTCAGGATGTTTCAGAGGTTGCTTGGCCTCATGTCGACCGCCTCCTCTGTGATTCCCCTGGGCCTGCTACACATGCGGCCCCTCCAATATTGGGTCAAAACTCATGTTGGTCCCACGGCTAGTGCCTGGGCCGGTGATATATCAGGGTAATCAATCGCTGTTTCAGAGCTGTGGCCCCCTGGACAACTCCTCGCCTGTTCTTTTCAGGCGTTCAGTTGGGAATGATCTCCAGAAGGAAGGTAGTCATGACAGACGCCTCCATCTCGGGCTGGGGTGCTCTGTACAAGGGCAACCCGGCGTACGGCTGGTCGATCCACGAGCGACGCCTACATATCAACTGCCTCGAAATTATGTCAGTCTCTCTGGCCCTGAAAACCTTCCTGCCAGCCTTAAAGGGGCACCACATCCTGGTTTACAGGATGACTCAAATTTTCCTGTTCTGGGCACAGAGCTCCTCTCATTACGAGTGGTTCATGTGCCGGGCAACTTGAACCAGGGAGCAGACATGCTTTCCAGGGACAATGTAGTTCCAGGAGAATGGAGACTAGTCGGTTCAAATGATTTTGTCTGTCTTCAGCAAGGCAGAGGTGGACCTCTTCGCCTCCGAAGACAACTATCACTGCCCAATCTATTTCTCAAGACAACGGGATGCTCTGGCCCACAATTGGCCCAACACACGTTTGTATACCTTCCCTCCGATCGCCCTGCTTCCTCAGGTTATCAGGCGGGTCAGGGAAACAAAATTCTCACTCCTCCTAGTGGCCCCACTCTGGAAAAACCAAACTTGGTTCCCAGAGCTGATTCAGCTGCTGTCTGCAGCCCCGTGGCCAATACCACCGAGGAGAGACCTTCTCTCGAGTGAAGGGCAAGATTTGGCATCCCCGGCCGCAGCTGCGGAGCCTTCATGTTTGGCCCCTCGATGGGAGTCTAGCCAGCTCCCCGCAAGAGACACTAATACCATTCTAGAGGCTAGAGCTATGTCTACAAGTTGTCTTTATGCTCTTAAATGGCCAGTCTTCTGTGACTGGTATTCAGCACGAAGTCTGGATCCGTATTCCTGTGACGTGTCCCACATGCTAACCTTCCTTCAGGAGTTGTTGGACAAGGGCTGTACCCCTTCAACACTCAAGGTTTATGTGGCAGCCATCGTGGTGAATCATTCTCTCATGGCTGGCCGCCCATTCAGCAGAAAATACCTGGTCATTAGGTTTCTAAGGGGAGCTCAGAGACTGAACCCACCTCGCCCTAGAACTGTGCCGATATGGGGCTTTTCTATAGTCCTGAGGACCCTCAAGGGCCCTCTCTTTGAGCCACTTCAAATGGCTGGCCTGCAGCCCATGTCACTCAAAACCACTCTGCTTTTGGCCTTGGCATCGGTCAAATGAGTAGGTGACTTTCAAGCGCTGTCAGTCAGCACTTCCTGTCTTGAATTTGGGCCTAATTACTGTAAAGTCGTTCTACAACTGCGAAGCGGTTACGTACCTAAGGTGCTCTCAACTCCGTTTACAGCCCAGGTTATTTCACTATTAGCTCTCCCTACAGAGAATGGCGACCAGGGTCCCAACTTGCTGTGTCCTGTTTGGACACTCAGAGTGTATGTTGAGTGCTCTGGGTTGTTCAGACAATCAGAGCAGCTCTTTGTGTGCTTTGGAGGCTGCTCTAAGGGGCTATAAATTACAAAGCAGAGACTATCTCGCTGGATAGTAGATGCTATAGCCCTGGCTCATGCCGCAGTTGGCTTGCAATGCCCTATAGGCGTGAGGGCCCATTCCACCTCCTGGGCGTGGTCCAGTGGGATTTATATCGGGGAGATTTGTGTGGCTGCCGACTGGTCGTCGCCGTCTACCTTCACTAGATTTTACAATTTGTACGTCCCTGCTATGCAGGCGCATGTCTTGGACTTAGTTAAGTAGACCTCAGATTTACGACGGTCTCTTCTGTAGCTTGGTGAATATGGATTATTGAATTTTTAAATATGAAAATGTGTGTGAAATGTTTTGAATTGAAATATTCAAAACTTAAATAAACAACTATGCTGAATTTCAGCCCCTAAAATGCAAGCCCTGAAAATACAAGGCATTAATTAATGCAAGCACTGATAATGCAATGCATTATTTTTCACTTAGTGCAATTCAACATGCTTTTTTTGTTTCAAAGATATTTGTAATTATTTTTATTTCATATTTAACCAGCTTTATCAGCATTAATGCATTTCTTCATCCAGTCTGTCTAGGTTTCTACCTTCAGACATCAGAGGTCCAGGCATATCTAGGAGAAAGCGTTATCTTGTCCTGCAATGGTTCAGGATTCCCTGTGGAAGAGCTGCACGTTCACTGGGAGGCGATGGGCAAAGACGTCATCTCTCTGCGTGGAGATGTTGTCATGGTCGGGAGAGGGTTTGAAGACCGGGTGAACTTCCTCAGTGATCCTACAGAATCTGAGGACTTTTCCCTCATTCTGTCAGATGTGATGCTGAATGATGGAGAGATATATGAATGTCTCTGGGAGGGAACAAAACCCATTTGCTCTGTATTACTACAGGTGTCGAGTAAGTACGGCAGTAACTTACAATTCAGAGTTGTCAATTACTAGTTGTAAATGTAAAAAAAAAAAAAAACATAAAAAGGTTCTCCTTTGAAATCAGATCTTTCTGACATCAAAACATTTTTAGAACCTTTATGTCTAAGAAAATAAAGAGTCTTGCTGACTTCATAATATCAATCTTCCTGTAGTAAAAACTTCAACAGGTAGAAAAAGTGCAACGTAAATCTCTCTTGTGTCTCTGTAGCACCAGCGTTTTTCACCAATTATGTGGAAGCGTTTGAGGGTGACGATATCACTTTGGAGTGCTTTGGACATATTCCTAAAAATAAACCATGGGAAGACATTTATGTCCAATGGCTGAAAGATAACAGAGAAATCCTGCGGTTGAGCTCTGGAAAGATGGACGTCGGTATTGATTACAGCATCATGAAATTACCGCCCAAACACGACATCAGTCGCGGTATCTTCTCATTGAGCATCACGTCAGTAAGTGTTTTTGACCAGGGTGTTTATCAGTGCCGTTACAAGAGCACAGATTATGAGGCGCCGCGGAGTGGGTTCCCAGAGACGTACACACTCACTGTTTGGGGTACGTAAGGTGTTCAATCATTTAACATAAGCTGATCAATTAGTTAAGACTGTATTTCCTGAGTAATAGAGTAGTACATGTATGAAGTCAGAACCTGGAAGACTAATTTGCCGCTGGTTCCTTCAAGATTTTTCTACAGGGTTTTATAATGAGGTTTTTCAATTTCTGAGTAAAATAAAGCCTGTAGTGATCATAACTTGACGATACTTTGACGTTTTGTTCTACAACATAAACTGCACACACCCATACAGAAAACGTGAATTTTGAAGCAGTTATGCTTTTTTTTTTTTAAATATATGTTTCTAAGTGTTTGGTAGACATGTGCGCATCCAAAATCGCATACTTCCTTATCTAGTAGGCAGGATTCATACAACAAAAGTATGTGAGGCAAAAGTAAGTGAGGAAGTATGTCAGAATTCACTGTATTCGAAAAACAGTAGGTGAAAAGTACCCGGATGACCTACTTCTACCGCCCGAATTCTGAAGTGTGCATTAGATGGACACTTTACAATCCCAAGAGGCCACGGGAGAGGATTTATGAATGGCAGTGAAGCGACACAACTGACGCTGGTAGGTCATGTGACAGTAACAACATGGCAGATGTAGTATGTTGGAATTTCATTCATACCCATATTCATACTATATATAAGCAGTGGTGGACGAAGTACACAAATCAAATACTTGAGTAAAAGTACAGATACGTATAATAAAATATTACTCCAGTAAAAGTAAAAGTACTCCTTTTTCAATTTTACTCGAGTGAAAGTACAAATAAAAATGTATACTGTTGATAAACAATATAAAAACAGACGTCACAAAGGGATAAATGCGTAGCATTTTTATAAAACTGTTAACGTTATGGCAGGGGGGAATATGAATGTGCATGAGTTATTTTATTTAGTCTGTGTTATTTTAATGTTTGTTTTTTTTGTTTTGTTTTTTATATAAGCTACTTTTTAATGGTCGTGAAGTAAATGAAAATTTAAATTTAGTACCTACTCAGACAGTATGCGATTTCAGACTCAATGGTGTGAGTAGGGTTGGGTATCGTTTGGATTTTTTATGATACCGGTGCCAAATCGATAATTCTAAAACAGTACCGGTGCCTAAACGGTGCCTGAACCGATACTTTAAAAAAAAGAGCCACAAAAAAATGGAGGATAACATTAAAGAACGGCTTTTTATTTAAGAAAAATATATTTAAAATAAACAATTTATTAAAAGTTTAAAGTATACATAAATATAATTAAATACAAAACACAACAAATTTACATACCACCCAACCCAACTACAATAATTTAACACCAATAACAGCAAAGTAGTTGATATTCTTGGTATACTACAAACCAGCTTCAAAATTTCAGCAATTCTTTTGCAGAAATATGATCATATTTGCCTTCTCTGGCAAAATACGACACTTCTCCTGACTTATTGCATGTCCTGCACAAGAGAAAACCCTCTCAGATGGTGTTGATGAGGCCTGAACACACAGATATGTGTTTGAAAGTGCAGACAATATGGGGAGGATGTCCCGCATCCCCCACCACTAGGCTACAGGGTCTTGTCCTGATGGGATTGAAGGTAGACCTGTGTAGATCTCAATCTCTTTCTGGACCTGTTCAGCTATGTACAGGGCACCACTTTTGGTTGTCGTTGCCCTCATTAGTTGAAGTAGCTCTCGGTCCTCATCCTCAAACAGCTCTTCTAGGGCTGACTTCTTGGCACGCTTCTTGTGAGATGAAAAAATACATAAAAGTAGGTGTTTAGACAAAAATAGCCTATTCTAAGATTATGAACTTAATTGTTCCTCTGCCTTGTCCTCTTTATTGTCATCCAATCTTTCTTCATCAATGTCCTGAAGGCCCTCCATTGGAAGCTGTACAAATAATGTTGCACATATAAATAGCAAGACTTCATCATAAAAACTGTAAAATAGCACATATGGTAAGCAAAGCAGAGCATGAAATACCTGTCCTTCTGTAACATTGCAAACTGCTGCTTTCCCCAACCGGCCCCAAGCAGCATCAGCAACAACACCTGCAAGTTTGCCTTTGAAGCAAGGGTCCATCAAAGTGACCTGCTGGAGGACGTTCTGAATGCCTTCATCCTGTAATAAAAACATGACAAAATATTTAGTGTCTAACTGGAAAATACCTGATATTGTTTTTTGCAGATCTCCCCAGACCTTCTCGTTCAAAGCACTGGTAAACAGAGTGTCAGTATGGGGAGAATTTGGCCACATGTGGGGAACTTCTCAATGGATACACAGAGGGTTGAGGTATACAACAACTTCAGATCCTCTGCTTTCTGGAAGTCATTGTCTGTGAGCCTTTTCAGTCTAAGGGAAAAAATAAGATATAAAAATAACATATCAACTATTATGTTGTTACTCATTGTTTTAGGATTTATATTCATGTCTATCACTTGTCTTTCCCCATTGGCTTCCTGAGTCGTTGGTCAAGTGATGCTGCCTGGATGGCCAGGTATTGCTCCAAAAATCTCTCCACCATCGGGAAAAGGGAGTTCCACTTTGTTCTGACATCCAGAATGATGTTGTGTTCTGGCAGATCTGAAACACAAATGTACATTTTGAATGACAATCTCTGAAGATGTTTGAAACAAACATAAGTTTTAAGATTTATAAGGCTACTCTAGTACTTACTGAGAAGTTGCTGCTTCTCCCGCAGGATGGTCTTAGCCACGGAGGACCTCTTCAACCACACCACAATAGCTCGAAGTCTGGCACACCACTTTGTAATGGCACTGATGCTATAAACCTTCTGTGCTGCCAGGTTTAGGGTATGGGCAAAGCACCCAACCTTTAAAAGCTTCAGATTCTTCAGTGCAACATCCATATTGCTGGTGTTGTCTACTGTGGCAGCTACAACTTTAGTGTTTATCTGGAACTCCTGGAGAATGCAATTTATCTTGTCTACCACCAGAAGGTCTGTTTGTGACTCATACACAGCTTTGGTGTATAGCACCTTCTGCTGTGTTTTGCATGTCACAGTGTCAGAATCCTTTGTTGTGAAATACAGCCACACTTTAGAATGTTTAACTTTAGGCATTTTAATTTAAGCATGTTTAGCTTAGCCAGCTAACAGTAGGCTATCTGCTGCCGTCAGAGCAAGTGTAATTACTGCATTCACATGCTCCTCAGATTGTCTCATTTCCCGAGTTGGGCTTTTAAGTCAGAATGTGAAAACAACATGGACACTCACGTTACTACAAATATTTGCTAGATTTGTTTTATCAGAGCTTTCCTACTTGCGTTTACATGCATTTTCTCAGTCAGGAAATTATTTTTCTCATGCAGTACTGGTGATGATGCTTCTTACGCCCGTTTCGGAGAACCAGAGGACAAATATTTAAATTGATCGCTCAGGCATTTAAGTGGCACCGAAATCTGCGTTTTGATTCGGTATGGTACATACCGGTTATATAGGTACTGGTGCCTTACTGGCACCGGGTTTCGGTACCCAACCCTAGGGGTGAGTGTGTGTAGTTTACGTTGTAGAACGATATGTCAAAGTATTGTCAAGTTATATTAAGGAGCAGTCGTGGCCTAATGGTTAGAGAGTAGGACTTGTAACCCGAAGGTTGTGCGTTTGAGTCTCAGGTCCGGTAGGAATTGTTGGTGGGAGGAGTGAATGACCAGAGCTCTCTTCCACCCTCAATACCACGACTGAGGTAAGACCCTAGAGCAAAGCATCGAACCCCCAACTGCTCCCCAGGCGCCGCAGCAATATGACTGCCCACTGCTCTGGGTGTGTGTGTGCGCACATGGATGGGTTAAATGCAGAGCACAAATTCCTAGTATCCTGGCCACATGTCACTTTCACTTCACTTTTCACTTTACCACAGGCTTTATTTTACTCATAACTCCATTATAAAACCCCATAGAGAATGGGTATCTACGTCACAGCGGGTTGTATCCTGTGTAATGGTCGCCATATTTTAGGACATGCTCAGGAGCACACAGTGTAAACAAACACAAATCATCACAGAAAAGGCTGACCGTTTTATATTAAAGGGGTCATATGATGTTGCTAAAAAGAACATTATTTTGTGTATTTGATGTAATTAACTGTGTTTATGCGGTTTAAGGTTCAAAAAGCACATTATTTTCCACATACTGTACATTATTGTTTATCCTCTATGCCCCGCCTTTCTGAAACGTGTCGATTTTTACAAAGCTCATCGGGCTGAAAAGCAAGGTGTGCTGTGATTGGCCAGCTATCCAGCACATTGTGATTGGCCGAATACCTCAAGCGTGTGACGGAAATGTTACGCCCCTCACCATACTGTTGATGCCGT